TTTTTTTTGAAAAATCTAGGGCTTTGTTCCGGTAGGAAATTAAGTTATTAGATATTAGCTCAAACCCTTTATGGCTTGTCTTTAATCTGGAGTGAGTCTAGGAGACTATTGTGATAAGAATAGTTTAGCCATATTACTAAGGTGTGATGCTTCTGAAATCTTTACCAAGTGCCTTGGATTTTCTTTTTATCCTGGTGTCTCTTCTGTTTGTTTTTTGTTTGTTTCAATTAGTTATACACGGCTGCAGAATGCACTGTGACACATCATACATACCTGGAGTATGACTTCTCGATCTTCTGGTTGTACAGGATGTAGAGTCACACTGGTCTTGGAGACATATATGCACCTAGGGTAATAATCTCTGATTCATTCTTATGTCCTCCCTACCCCCATACTCCATCTGCAGTATACCCCAATTAATATATTAGGGCCAACCCGGTGTTATATTCCTTGGTATAATGCCTTTAGAATTTCCCTGTGCACACTTCCCTGATTTTCGCTGGTGTAAATGGGCAAAGTCTTGCTCTTCCTGTTGAGTGCAAGCCCCTTTCTTCTGGTCCGTTTTGCACTTGTGCCTATGGAGCTTGCTGAGGCTGACTCTAGATATGGGTCCATGGTATGGGGGTGGTTTGGCTATTTGCTTTATGGAAAGACTATTATTAACCATCAGGAACAGGGATCCCCTGACTGCACTCATTTTGAGGGGTTTACTATGCAACCCATAGGCAGCAAGGAATGGTTTTCAGCCAGACCTCCTGCAATTCCACCATGGAAAGCAGTGCTTCTTTGGTTTCCACGGGGAGACTTTGCCCTTTGTTCTTCCCCCAGGACATCTGGCATTGTCTGAGGGTGTTTTGGGTTGCCATAGCTTGGGGGCGATTGGAAGGGTTACTACTGGCGTCTAATGAGTGTTGGCCAAGAGTGCTACTGATCCCCCTGTATGACATGAGACAGTCCCACCACAAAGAATCATCCAGCCCCAATGTCCCCAGTGTCAGAGCTGAGAAACCTGGGCCCATAAAGGGGCCAAGGTGATGGTGACAGAATTTAAAGTTGGAGCTCCAAATAACACAGCTAGGACTGACTGTATCTGGGCTCTGACGATGAACTACTTCCAGACCCAGTTTTTGGCTCATTTACTGGGTTCCTACTGAGTGGCTTTTCCTGCATAATTATGCCAGACCCTGGGATCTAGGTGTCGCGAGTCTCTGTCTTGAAGAAACTGAGTGAAGAAAGATTCCTGCCCAGTGCTGCAGCTCCACTGAGGCCCCGTGGGGACCTGAAGCCAGCCCCTTCCTCCACGTGTCCTCTCTGGGAGACGTGCACAGGAGCCAGCAGCAAGAGGCTGTGAGGAGGGCACCACGGGTGTCCTCACTTGCCATCACTCCTCTTGTACAGGCTTTGTGGGTAGCTCCGGGAGGTTTGGCTCTATGATGTCATTCACGTTGTCAACATCCTGCTGGGAAGGAGCGTTGAATTCTTTTCTTCCAAATTGGCTCTGTGAGAGGTTGAATGGGTGACAGCAAGCAATTATTCCTTTCCTTCGTTTGCCTGTGTTCCCTGGTCTTATTCACAGACACAAAAGAAAAACATTTCTCCTGGATGGAGGGCCAGCTGTGAGGGGGTCTGAGCCACAGGACACTGAGTGAATGCCGACCAGGCGGCTTGGAGCCTTTCTCCTGTGAGGCCACATCTCCTGACCTGAGTGTGGGTGGAGGGGCTGCTGGCCACAGTGGAAGGGAGCTTCTGGGAGCCCCCCTGGCTGTCCTGTGGCCACACTCCACAACCTTGCATGTTCCCAGGTGCACCCTTCTGCCTTGCACCACTGCAAGTGCTGCCGTGTGCTGCCCTTCGAAGCTGGCAGCTGCCTTGGAAGAGGCGAGTTTTAATTTTCTTTGGCATTTACAAGCATTAGAAAGCTGGGGACAAGTGTTTTTCTAAGCTGCAGCCATGGCCCTAGAAACAGGGGGACAATTGATTGATTCTTAACCTGTTGCTGGGCAGCTCAGGCCTTCTGAAAGAGACTTAATCTTCAGTGATTAAACTCTAAGTGTTTTCTCACATTTAAACATTAGGCTCATTTTATGATTGTGAAAGCAGCAGTTGAGCAAGGGGGAGAGGAGTTTACTGCATCTTAACTTGTGCTGCAAATTGAATTTCTATCGATGAGAAGTGCTTCTCCCCATCAGAACTCTCCAGGAGCCCGGGCTGAGAGATGGGCAGAGGTTTGTGGTTTTTTTAAAAAAAATACAGTAATAACATTTATAGAGATGAAACTGTCGACACCACCCCTAAGGCTGCAGATTAATTTTGATAGTTGTCTTTATAATGCAGGGGAGGGAGATATTGCCTACACCCCTGGGGAATTGCTCGGGATGAAACTAGACAAATGCAAGCATTTGCTGTGGTTGCTTTGCTGTATTTGGTCTTCAATTTCTTTTTTTTTTTTTTCGTTCTACAAACTTTTATCCATAGCTTTGAACATATTAGCATAAATATCTGCCCTCTGGGCATTTTTCTATATCTGTTTTCCTTTGTGCACAGCTTTTGTTTTCTGGAACTCTGAACATTCACGCAAGGTTGAAATCACGATCGCTAGTATCCATTGAAGTTTCTTTATATGCCCAGAACTGTTTGTTCTAGGAGCCTTGCATGTGCTGATCCACCCTCTGAGACTGGCATCCTGGGACTCTGAATTCCTAGGGCAGAAGCTCTGGCTGTCAGGGACTCGCGGGGAAGCGCCACATTGAACCCTGGGGTTCCGGCTCCTGAGCTTAGACTGGGCTGTGCTCTGCTTGCTTCCCTTTTCCCCTGGCTGGGAACTTATGCTCCCATGGGACTTGTGGGCCAGGGCCTGGGACCTGAAAAGTGAACAGGCAGAGATGAGGGGAGGTAGCTTGGGTGCAGAGCCGTCTCTATGTGGAACACAGCATTTACCTGCCAGGACCCAGGAGGTGCTAAAGTCCCACTTGACTTGCTTGAAGTATGAGGGAGCCAACACTAATGCCTGAAGGTCTTCCTTATTAGGGGAATTTTGACCTATAACAAAAGAATTGGCTTGTAGAAACACAAGCCTTCCTCACAGAGGAGGTATATACATCTTATGTTAATTTATAGGGTCAGCCGTTTCCAATGGCCAATGTTTAACTACTCTTAACCTACTCACAGGGCATTTCACACGGGGCAGCCATATTTATCTTCAACTGTGTTTATAATTGGAGGTGGTTTTGCCCATCATCAGTTGGCCTGTTTGGCAGAATGAACCACCCAGACATTCTTCTTCTTTCTTGGATCTGTCACCTAACAGTTTTAGTTTGTGTTTACCCATGAGCTTTAGATCATCTTTCTTTATTTTAAACCCTTTTTGTTATTTTACCTTAACTTGGTCTTTTCACAACTCACAACGAGAATCTTATATAACCAAGATGCTTTTTAGCAATCATGTTGAAAAAGATGAAGTTTAAAACATTGAGATATATTTTGTAAAGCCCTTCAAATCCTATTATCAACCTTTTGGCTTACCAGGTCTCTTTCATTTTCATTTTTCATTAATCTCTCTTCAAAGTGGCCAGCTTGTATGGAATAAATTGCTTTGTTGGTGTGTGGCCCTTTACTTTGTTCTTTGTTCGGGAGAACGCAGTGTGTCCCCGAAGGGACAACCTTTGAATCCCGTGATTACCCGCCTACTTTAAAGAGTGCTTCGGTTGAGAAGCGAGTTTTCATTTCTATTCCTGTTCTTCCCCATGCTGTAGCTACAGGGAGGACTTCGGCAGGGATTGGGAGTCAGCAGAGTGGCTCAGCCTTCTGCTTTCTCGAGAGGTTTGCCCTTAGTTTCAATCCATGATCCATCCCGTTCATAAAGTTTCCAAACATTAATGCCCACCTATTTTCTATGGTGAGTCTGAGGTCATATTTCAAGACAAGCACTAGTGTTTCTAGATGAGCTGCCTGCTGGGTTACGCTACGCCTCATTGCTGCTCCTTTACAGCACATGAATGAGGCGGGCATGAACATGCTTGGCAAAAGCAGGAGGGCAAATGCTGCTCATTTGTTTTGTTGAGAACTATGGAGAGCAGACTTGGAGGCATGCATGTTTTTGGTTATTCTTACGTTCAACAGAGAAGTCGACTGTGAGCTGCAGATCCGAGACTGAGAAGCCACTCAGGCTGGAGGTGAGCTGGACTCGGTGACAGGGTGTGCCAGCAAGAGTGTCAATTAGGCCACAGTGCTGACGGCTCTGAGTGAGGGCTCGGGGTTTCTCTTGGCCTCTGTTTCTTTTCGTCATTTTGAAAATGTCAGAGTTCAACTGAAATGTCTTTAAACATAGGTAGGTAGTGATGAAGGTATTCTAAAAACTCATTAATATGCTGGAATTTTCTCTGGAGAGTGCTTAAAGAAGCACTAGAGGTCATGTTAGAGAAGAGCTATAGTATAATTAAAGAGTTGGTAGGTAAGTCTTGAGAAGAAAAGCTTAAAGAGCAAGAATTATCTTGCCTTGGAAGAGAAAAGACAAGGGGTTGATGGTAACGTTAAGATAGCACAGAAACCTAAACAATTAATCTAGTAAGAAGCCTCACTTTTCTTTATAGCTAATATGTTATGACTTTAGGAAAAATGAAATATGCGTATTAAACTAAAGTTGCCAAAAAACTCACACATACGGAAACAAACCAGAATTGCAGGCTCAGCTCACATAACCTCTCATTATGTTTTTAGAATGTTTATCTAGCTCTACAAAGTCTCCATAATTTTGCCTATTATACAATTCAGAATAATAATATTTTAAATTTACATGAAAAAAAAAGCATTATTGAACGTAAAGGTTATTGAATTTCATGTTTTTGTGAGATGACAACATAGTTTATATACCATGATTTTTTGCTTCTGCTCAGAACCTTGTGGAAAACATGTGTAAGACTTTGTTCTACGTTCCCACCAATTTCTCATGAATAGAGTTCTGTCCTGACTTTCTGGACCCATGGAAAGGAAGATGTTTGAGGTGATTGGTAATTTTGCCAAGTTGCCTTCCAGAAGAGTCCAGCACAGCACGCTGCCAGTCACAGGCATTTCCTGGTTCCAGCAGTTATACATGATCACGTCATGCTTCATAACGAAGTGTGTTTCTTCTTTTTGTGTCTTTTGATAACCTTTTCCCATTGACTTGTTGACATCTTCGTGGTTTTTGACCAATCACAAGATAAAATTGGAGTTTTCCAAAGACATGCGAACAGGAGACAATCAAAGACCCATGTATGTGCCTGAGAATTTTCTGGAAAGACTGACCCTCTGAGTAAATGGAGCCTTAGGACAGACCTCACAGCTGCGCGACTCACCTGCTTCTCCGCATCTGTGCTGACTCTGTTAAAAACCAGGTGAGAATAATGATGAAAAAATGCTCTTGGGGAGGAAGGAAATAAGTTGGTTTCCTATTGGTTGGAAGCCAGAGAAGTGATTCTTCCTTTGAAGGCAGGGGGGAGACTTAAGATCCCTTCCAGTGCAAAGACTCAGTAGTGTCCTACCTATATGCCTTCTGTCTTCACCTGCCTGTCTTCCTACTGTCTGTCTGTGATCCAGTCAGTCTGAGCAGGCCCAGCAGCCTTATCAGCTGCTTCTGCCCACAGCCAAAGCTGCAGGTGGTCTACCCCAAGGCCCTGTGGCCTCGCACCTGCTGCTCAGGTACCTCCTGTCGTCTGTTTCCTGTCTGTCTCCCCTGGAGCGCCTGTCTGTGGAGCTGCACTACATCCAGTTTTAACTTATGTGTTCATTTCACGTCTCTGTCTTGATCTGTGAAGGAGGTCAAGGTTGTCTGGCTGACTGGACTGACTGTGACTCGCCATTCCACATCTCAAGGGACAGTGCCTAGCCACTTCTGGGCCCAAGTTCTGCATCCTCAGCTGGACTTAGCAGGCCATGTAGAAACACAGAGGAGCTGAGACACAAATTAGTGATGATCGTTGTTCATTCTTCAGTCAAAAGCAGAGGGAGAGAGATATCTGGATTCCAATTTCAAGAATCTTAGTCAACTAGTTTGGTCATCAAGAGGAGATTTTAACAAATGTCCTTGTCCATGGTTGCATAGATGATAGAAAGTCTCAGTATCTTGAGGTAGTCTCAGAGGAACAACTGGATGTTGTCTCTGGGTCCTTTCCTGTTCCATGATCCTCATCTCCTTTCTAGGTGACTCACTTTGGTCTCTTTTGATTTTATAAGAATCATTGGAAGTATGAACAAATAAAATAAGAGCTAGTGAGGTTAAAATTTTAATGTCTTTGATTATTCAGAATTTGCATCTCAGAGCTTTTGTGGAAATTTGAGCCTTTGGCTAAATAATCATTGCTGTAATTTTTCTCCCTAGCAGTCAGTATATAGCCTTGAATTCACTGTCTTCCTTTTCAACAGAAATCCGTTTATTTCAAGTTCTCGGCACAGCTGAGGCTCTTTATCAATTGCTAATTATCACTCACTCTATGCAGGGACACATTTCCTCTGTTTGCATGATACAGTACTTGCTCTAATCTCAGCCTCACAGTGTGTGTTCCTACATAGAAAGGTCTTCTTACCAAGTTTATATGATAAGACCATTATCCACCAACCTCAAGTGAAATATAATGCTATCCCTTATTTTGGAGTTTGTTATTAAAGAATGATCACATTGAAGTTGATATATACATCATCTCTCTGTTTTTAGGCAGTTTGGGAATATAAATATAGGATAAAAGCATAATTAACAACATTTAATTAAAATGGAGAGTTGTTTGAAATGGTCTGGAATCTAACTACATCATTCAGAATTAGTTATCTTGCACTTATTTCTGCATTAGGAAACTACATGTATCTACTTTCAAGTATAGAAGGACAGATATAGGAATTAAATCAAATGCAAAGTAGTTGATCCCAAAGATGAATTCAGTTTAGAGATTGCCTTGTATTCCAGGAACTGCTCAAATGATAATAAGCAACATTTATGGACATCCTACCTTATGTCAGACCACACACTTGGTACTTTGGATGCGTTACTCACAATACTATAATTCTCAGGCCCAGTTGTAATGATTGAGATAAGACTTAAAGAATGAGTCTGAGCACTTGGGAGGGTATGGAGAAAAGTGTTATTCTAGGTGGAAGAAACAACTTTGTAAAAAGATAAAGGCACCAATGAATATTCAGAATTCAAGAAATGAAAAGAAAGTTTAGCAAAACTGAATTTAGTCGAGGAAACTCGTGAAGAACAATACCACGCAAGGCTCATCAGTAGGGAAGATAGTTTAGAATATAAGTAAGTAAAGTTTGGCTTTGTTGTGAGAATAAGAAGCTGTTGGATTTTAATCAGGGAAATGCTGAGGTTTGATTTAAAACAATTATTCTGAATATGGTATGGAGACGGAGTCAGAGAAGATGGAAATGAGAAGTCGGAGGTGCTGGAGAAGCCCAGACAGGAGGAAAGATGACCACCTGACCCAGGTGGTGGGTTGGTCCAGGACAGTCGATGTGCTGGATGAGTGTGTCCTCGGTAGACAGGCGGAGAGCATCGGGTATCCATGGGCCCTGGAGTCAGGGGAGAAGGAGGATGGAAGAAGGGAAGCCTGACGCTGAGCCATTGGCTTGGCACCATTTTTAACACCAAAAGGCTAGACAAGGGCGGGGGGAGAGGGGCAAGAGGTGGAACTCCATCTTGTGCATGCTGACTGCACAGTGCCTTTGGGCACAAAGCAGGGAGACCCCATCAACACTTGGAAATAGGTTTCTGTGGCTCAGGAATTAGGTCATGGTCATGAACCTACCTTTTGGAGCTCAAGAGTAAGAACCATCATGGAACTGAGATTCATTAACATATAGATGGAAGCCAAGTCCAGAGTGGAGGCAGGGGGAGAGTGGAAGGCCCTAAGGAACATCAATATTAAGGGATGATGAGAAAAAGAGGCAGGTTCAGTGGGCACTGACAACCGGGGGCAGCAGGCAAGGGTACTTTTCCATGCAAATGATGCAACTGAGAAGAGACTCCCACCAGGAGGAGGGAGGACCACAAGCACCAAATGCTGCCTGGAGCATGAGCAAGGGGAGGACCAAAATGTGTCCCTCGATTGTTTATTTTTAAACATACTTAAATATCAAAAGTGATACATGAACACTGAAAGAAAAGCAAACTTTTTATATGTGTAACTATAAAAAAATAATAACTTATACTTAATGTATTATCTCCGATATACGTTAAGTGAAAAATTTATTATCTAGGCACTTGAAGTGTGCTAAATTGGGCAGGAGAAAGCAAATGATATTCTCATTTCTTATGTACAGAAAGAAATGGAAAGAATAAGTAAGAAACCAATAAAATTGTTATCTATTTCGACATTTCCTTTTTACATTGTTTTATCGTTTGGATCATGCAGGTACTACATTTTAAAGCAAATTGAAGCAGATACACAAAATTGGTAACAACAGAGAAAGGATTTATTTCCAGTGACTTTGATGTATAGAATTGGATGTAAACCTTTAATTCATCTAAAGATAAAAGAATTGTAAAAATTATAAACAAGTAGGTTTTCTATTAGTAATATTAGAATTATTTAAAATCATGTATATTAAGATATGCAGAAACGCATGTCTTTTGTATTTTCCATATAGCACTTGTTATGATCTCAGCCTTTGAATGCCATCTTGATAAAATTAAAGAGAAATATTTTAGAAATTTATATCTAGCCACCAGATTTTGACCTTTAACATCATTAGCATCTGAGGAAATATTGGCTCTGGAAGCAATGGCTGATTTTGGGTCACGAAAGGGTCAGAGGAGCCTTAGACAGGATGCTCTGTGCCAGAAAGCAAGGATGGTTTATCAGAGGGATGGGCCAGAGGACACAGGATTACGTTTGCAGTTGCTCCCATTGGCTGGAACCCCACTGGCACACAGCAGTGATTTTAGTTGATTTCTACAGACAGACTATGTGAAAATCCATGCATCTGCAGCAATGTTTACAAAAGAGAAAATCCAAAAATTCCATTGCTCCTCGAGGGAGCAATTTAATGGACCTCTTATTTGAAATTAGAGGAGAGAGAAATTGATCTTTTATCTTTCCTGTCCTGGAGGAACTGTTTTCTAGGGTAACCAAATACTCTCAGTTGTCGAGGACAAGTTCCACTTTATAGAAGAATGCCAGCCAGTCGGGGAAGGGAAAAGTAAGATTCAGCACTGTTGTTTGACAACAGGACAGGCTCAGTTTGGGACAACTTTAGCCAATCATTAGGTGAGAGGTCAGTGGAAGCCCACGTCTGTTTAAATTTATGATCATTTGATTATATCCACTGTGCACATTACTGGGTTTCACTGTGACATTTCCGAACATGCACATTCTATGCTTTGATCGGATCAGTCCTTCTTACTACCTCTCTTGACCTCCCCTCTCTCCCTCATCTCCCCACCTTCCTTTCCTAATAGTCCATCTTCTGTTTTCCATTTTAGGGTCACTTATTTTTTCTCTTTCCTGTTTCCATACGTGAGAGAGAACATGATGCTTTGTCTTTCTGTGTCAGGCTGACTTGGCTTAACATGATACCATCTCTTTTCCTGTAAATGACATGATTTCATTCCTACTTATGGCTGAATAAAACCCCAAATACCATATTTTTATCCATTCATCTGTTGATGGGCACCTGAGCTGGTTCTATATCGTGACCGTTGTGCAGCGGGCCACAGTAAACATGGGCAGGCAGTAGGCCTTGGGTTGCTGACTTGGTTCCCTCTGGGATGCCTGGGTCATATGGAGGTCTACTTTTATACTTCTTCCCATGGTGGCCACCCTGATTTACATTCCCTCCTACGGTGTAGGAGGGTTTCTTTTTCTCCTCATCCTTGCCAGTATTTGTTGTTATTATTTGAGCAATAGCCATTCTGACTGGGAGAAGATGGGATCTCACGGAAGTTTTGATTTGAATTTCCCTGGTGGCTAAGATGTCCAACATTATTTTTTTTCATATATTTATTGATCATTTTATTTCTGTTTTGGATAAGTGAGTGTTCAGATCATTTGCCCATTTACGGATTGGATTAGATGTTCTTTTGTTGTTGATTTTTTGAGTTCTTTCTATGACTTTTGATACATGAACCCTTCACTCAGATGAACAGCTGACTTTGGGAACCCACATTTTCTTTTTTAGTTTTTAATATGTTCTTCTGACAGTATGTTCTACGACAGCAGACCGTATTTTTGACGTACTATACATACATGGAGTATAACTTCCCATTCTTGTGGTGGGGAGCCCCCATTCTGTGGTGTGGCCAGCACCGCCCACTTGGTTTCCATTTGGGTGGCTGTGTCTTGCCACACACAGACCCACTCAGGAGTTGTCTGCTTCTGGGGAAACGTGATGCAGTAGGTAGAAGACAGCTTCCCTCGTACCTATAACTTGATCATTTTGGAAAACTTGGTCAAGTCGTTAGGTCTGATTCCCAGGTTTAGGAAAAGCAAGGGCTGGAACATGGAGCTCAGTGGCACCAGGAGGGAGTGGTTGGCCTCATTCAGAAGGTGAGAACTTCGTGGAACCCAGCCAGCTGCTCTTCCTTCAGGTCAGTTCTGCGAAGAGAGCTCTGTTCCTGGTTGAGAAAGGCCTAAGAACCATGGGTGGCCAAGCCAGGTGGAGAGGACACGGTCGAGCCTACTGGACAACCATGAGCCTGGACCGAATCTTTCCCTGTTCCCAAGTGACTGTCAGCTTCCCAGCTGTGGCGTCTGGGTGAGCCTGACAGAAAGAGGGAAGAGAGTGAGGATGCGGGGTTTCCTCCCCACTCTGGTCTGTGCTGGGAGGTGGCTGTCCCTCTACATGGTGAGTCCTGCAGGTGGGCGCTCCTCTGCCTGCTTCAGTCTCCCAGGCTCAGGTGACCCTGTCTCCTCTGGCCTCTCCAGGGTAACTGTGAGGGGTGACAGCTCCGCAGACAGCTTGTCTCTGGGTGTCTGGAGATCCTCTTTAGTCTTCTGAGTCTTGCCCACCCTCTGTGAGTGGCACTTGGAACCACTCTTGGGACTTTTATTTTCTTTTGAACCTATATGGAAACAACCTCCATTTGGATTTTTAATCTAGCACACATTTTCATCTGGGGTGAAATTGCTCTCAAGGAGGAAAGGCTTCGCTTGTTGGTGGTTTGTGGGGTGGGTGAGGAGAACTCTGCTTGCTCTGGGTGTCAGACGGCTGTACATACTGACTTTAAACAGATGCCCATCATGCAGCTATAGGGGATTCAAATTCAAAGAGGTATTCAGTGTTTCTGCAGGCAGGTTCAAACTTCATGGGAGGCTACTAATAGGGAAAAATATCTAAAATGTTTTAAAAGATTCCTAAGGGGACCACAACGAAAGAAAAAAAACAAACAATTCACTACCAATTGCTTCCCTTCGGGATATGTGGTAGCATTTCACACTCCCACCAACAGGGGGAGACGTGTGTCCTTTCAATTACTGAGCCCTCATCCAGACAGATGGAGAATCTCTCCTCATTCCAGTCTTGTCTTCTTGCTCTTTCAGGAATGTTTTGTGGTTATTGTACATAAATCTTGCACAGTTCTTTCTCTGTGTTTCAAACCCAGTGCTTTTGGGGGTGGAAGGAAGCCTTCCATTCTGTGAGGTCTGCTGTGCCCACTCCCACCCGCAGTGTCTACTTTCTGCGGGACCCCTAGTGTCTACCCCTGGTCACTTTGTCCTAGCCATGTGTCTTATTTCAAGATTGTGGCTTTTGTGGCTTTTTTTTTTTTTACTGTAACATAAAACATTCATTTTTTAAATTTAATTTTTTGACACATAACATTTGAACATATTTATTGTAGCACAATTTTTAACAGCCAAAGAATGGGAAAATTACTTTAATTCCATCTCTGGAGGACTGGTTGAATGTTACAGAGTTCCATTAGAATACTAGGTAATTCTGAATCCATTACATTGATATAAATTCCCAGATAAATTTTTATGTAAAAAAGTGAGTTGATGGACACATGCATCACATAAGTCACATGTATTTTACAGATATAAACATGACAACTCATGTAAAATGTTATGTAGGCAAACAAATCTTCTGAGGACAGATAAATACAAGTGCTGATGCAGGGATAAAGGAAGTCTTTTCTAAAGAAGGACGTGACATCAGGAAGTCAAAATGCCGTATTGACAATTGAGGGGGTCCCCAGATGAAAATGAGGGGAAAGCAGTGAAGAACAGTGGACTCACATAAGCAGAGCTCCCAGGGTAGGTTGGTGCTCCAGAGGAAAGTCAAGTGTGATTGCAGGTGCTGGTGCAGCCCTGTAGGGGCTGACCATGGTAGAGACAGCTGGAAAGCTCTGTCCCTCTTGGTGAGGACCTTCAAGTCCCAGGCTTTAGGTGGCCTGTTTTCTATACTTTCTTATTACAGGTAGCGGTCCTGTATTTTAAACACGAGAAACTGATTCATGAGGCAATTCTAATGACTTTCTCTCCACCATAAAGCTAGAAATTAATGGGGGGAAGAACTAGAAAAAGGGTGTTGTTTCAAGTATCTTTTTTTTTTAAGAGAGAGAGAGAGAGAGAGAGAGAGAATTTTTTAATATTTATTTTTTAGTTTTCGGCAGACACAACATCTTTGTTTGTATGTGGTGCAGAGGATCGAACCCGGGCCGCACACGTGCCAGGCGAGCGCTACCGCTTGAGCCATATCCCCAGCCCTCAAGTATCTTTTTATTAAAGTTCAGTAAGGATGCATGATACGGTTATCTAAGTACAAAATAATACGCTATCGAACGATTTCCCTCTCCATGCCAACCTCTGTGGATCTCAGCTTCCCTGCCCTAAAGGCAACAATATTATCAATTTCTGGATCCTTCCAGAGCTGTTCCACGTGCGGTAGTACACCCCATCTCTTTGCAGTTCTACTCAGCTGCCTCCTGTTCATGATCACTTCTCGTTCCAGCATCTCTGCTTGTGCCTGCCTTGAGGATCCTCTCCCGGTGTCTTGAAATCGCCTCCCACCTGCGCTGTCCTGAAGGTGCCCAAGGGTAACTTGATGTCCATCTGTGTAAGGCAGAGATGGATGAAAGTCCTGCTGCTCCACCCTTCCTTCTGGATTAGAAGGGCGTTTCACTGGTACTTATCACCAAGAGAAGACACCACACTTCCAAGGCAGGGCCGGGAAGACAGAAGGCCAGGGGTGCTCTGGAGCCTTCTCCCTGCCCTGTGGTGGGTGAGTAGTTCCCTTCCTGAGCTTGGGGTGGGAATGGGTGCTGCTCCAGGTGCGGGGGTGCTGCTGTGGTCTCCCCATACTTCCTGTGTTGTTTTCTTTCTTTTTAAAAATTAATTAATTTTAATTAGGTATATATGGCAGCAGAATGCATTTTGATTCATTGCACACAATTGCAGCACAGTTTTTCATTTCTCTGGTTGTACGCGATGTCGTGTTGCACCATAAGTGCAGTCATGTATGTACCTAGGGTAATGATGTTCATCTATTCCAACATCTTTCCTGCCCCCATGCACCCTCCCCACCTCTCCCTCTCCCTTCCCCAAAGTTCCTCCATTTTCCCCATGCCCGCCCCCCTCCCCATCGTGGATCAGCATCCTCTTATCAGAGAGAACGTTTGGCCTTGGTTTTTTTGAGATTGATTTACTTGCTTAGCATGATATTCTCTAACTCCATCCATTGACCTGCACATGCCACAGTTTCCCTATCCACTCACGTACTGAGGGGCATCTGGGTTGGTTCCACAGTTTAGCTGTTGTGAATTGAGCTGCTGAGAACGTTGATAAGTCATGAGTTCCTGCAGACATGATCCGTGCCTGCAACCCCAGCAGAGTGCTGTCTCCATGCCATCCGTTGGGAAGCACCAAGATTCCTCAGGCTTTTCTTTCCCCTGACTTTCTGGCACGCCTCTTCCTGGGATCTATGTTTCTGCGTAGATATGAGCTGGTACTGAGGGGTCAGCACAGGAATGTCGGTCTGAAAGGGAACCCCTTACTCCAGTCCTGGAAGGTAGGTGGCTGAGACTGTGAGCCAGAGAGTGAATTAGTTCAGTGCCTTGGGACTGAGGTTGGGGGGACAGAAATGCCTTCGTACTTTGCTTCTTTTGTTTGTATTTTCTAGAGGAAATTTGTTTTACAGGGTTTGAGTTTGCAGAGACCTGGAGCCTGGTGGCTTTGTCATATGGGACTCTTGGTGCTACCTGTGCTGGTTTTACCTGGGACTGAGGCACTGGCTTCTTCTTGGTGCTGGAATTCAGGGCTGTGTTTATGCTTCTTTGATGCTTAAGCGAGAAGGAGGAAGAGGCCCTGTGTCGCCATTTCAAGCTAAAAGTAGCTGTTTAATTTTGTTAAACAACCCCTTTGGTGATTCGACATTATTTTATTAAACGCATGTCCCACAGTTGACTTAGTGGTTTCCTATTGTTGGCCATTTAATGTGTTTTCGTGTTTTTACTCTTCTTATGAATAATTTGACAGTGAACACTTTCATGCATATAATTTTTTAATGGGCTATAAATAAAACTTGTGACATATCCTGGTTACAGAAGGGATTTCTTCTTGCAATTTATGTTTCTTCTTGCATAGAGATTCCGCCCCTGGGTGGTTGGTCTAGAGTAGAGGCTGACGCTTCCATCTTCCTTTCTGGGAACCTCCTTGCCTAAGACCTGACAGCGGGATGTGAGTGAACACGTGTAAACCCCGGGAAGTTTCTTGAAAGGGGAGAGGGTCTACTTGCTTTATTCTTTCCCTTCCCCAGTCTTATGCCCAGGATGAGAGTGTGATGGCTGGAGCCCAATTCCACCTCATGCTGTGGCAGCAAATGCATTTCTCTTCATTTTGCTGAAGCAATCCCTTCTTGGGATCTTTGTAATTAGGGGCATGCAATCCTTTCATATACTGTATGACGTAACATGGAAGTACTAGATTTTAATGAGTGATCAGTAGATGGCAAGAAATTGAGATACAGAGCCTGGTAAGTAAGGCAGAAATGCACTGCATATAAGCTTGCCTACCCTCGAGTGTTTCCCTCTGTGATTAGCTTAGATCACAGGATCTCACACTCACAGTGTCTATCAGCACATCCACTGAAGCCAGATGGAGCAGACACAATCACCCCATTCCTTACTAATAAACCCCAACTCGCCCAGACCAACTGGGAGGCTTGCTCAGATTACAGGTTTATGCACTGAATCCAGATATATTGGATCACAGTGCCTGACAGTAGAGCCCAAGAAATAGCATTTTTAGGAAGTTTACTACATGATTCTGAGGTGCAGAGGTATTTGGGGTCTTCTTGCCAATTCTTCTGTATTTTGAACACTGCTTCCCCCCACCCCCACCCCCTGCCAGTGACTTTCCCCCACACACTGTGAACTTAACCAGCACAAGATGGATCTGAAGAAACACACGCTGGGGCCAGATCATCGTGTCTCTGCGGCACAGAGAACTCAACACATACATGGCCTTTTGCTCTAAGAATGGCAAACCCAGCATCTCCCCGGGCTGGGAGTCCTTTGAGAAGCCTGTAAGGTTCCATTTACCACCCCAGACCTGTCCTCATCCAGGGAAGGACTGTGGCTCTCTTTCTGTTGAATCCACTGTGCCCACCCACGGCTCTCCGGAGGAGGCAGGGACACAGGATGCGGGATGCAGATGCATTTCAGTTCACCTGCGGATGTTTTTTTTCCCAGTGGAAACTCTTCCTCTTGCAATCACACCTGGCTTTGAAGTCATTAAAACATTCTGTTCCTTGGGTCCCACTGGGAGGGCGAGCTCTGCGGATGGAGAGCTTTTGAGTGCTTATTTCTTTGTGTTTAAAATTGTGGGGTCTGAGCCAGGAGGACTGTGTGGCGGGTGATTTTCAAAAAGTGACTGCAGTAATTCCCCTCCTGTGTCCCATCTGGCGACTCCACTCCCTGCAATGAAGAGGTGGGGCTTATTTCTCTGCTCCTTGGGTCCGTGCTGGACTTGGACTCCAGGAGACTGTGAAAATGTGGATGATGCGGCCAATGTGCAGGCTCATGGACCCTGTCTGCTCTGCTTGCTGCCCGGCTGTGAGAAAGCCTGGGCTCACCTGCTGGATGAGGAGGCAGATTGGCCAGGTCATTGGTGACCCCAGACAGCCAACCTGACCACTGCAGCTGAGCTGGAAGAGTCTTAGCCAAGAGGGCTAGCCTGCAGAATTCTGAGTCGCATACCTGGTGGCTGTCTTGAGCCACTGAATTTGGTGACGGTTAATGATGCAGCCCAAAGTAGATGGATGACACAGGCATCAATATGGGCTTCCAAGAGTGGGGGAAATCTTGGGGTGGCCACACTGCAGGATGGTCCTGCAAGTCTGCAACGTTGAGCCAGTGACCCGTTTCCTGTCACGATGTCCCTTCGCTGGAACACTCCTCATGATATGGTCAGAAATGTGTGCATGGACAGTAATGTCCGGTTAGACAAAACCCAGCTGGGAGAGAAGGCTTTGAGGACAGGTGGCCTCTGCTGGCTGTCCCATCCTCTTCTTTCTGGCTGGGTGGAAGGGCAGTGATTTCAGGGGAACAGGTTCAGAGAGCTCAGGCCTGGATCCGATGCCCTTTTGCAGTATCTTGTGGGTTTGTTTTGTTTTGAGGTATAATTCACACATGATAAAAATTCCATCTTATACTCTAAAGCTTGGTGATTTTTAGCCTAGGGACAGGATTGTGCAATCATCACCTCTGTCCAATTCTGAACATTCCCATCGCCCCCAGAAGAGAAACCCATTTGTTAATAACTTCAGTAAAATATCAGTCAGTTTGGAAACAAATCAAACTTCTTTTTCTCAGTTTGAGGAGTATCAAAGCTTTTCCTAGTTCAATGCCTATTGTGAAGACAAAAATACGCACTCACTTGGGTCTCATAGAGAATTTTCATTTAAAAGGCAAACGTTTTTCAAGAAAGCAGAAAAGTGTTCCTTTTTCTCAATAATAAATGCAGAAATGAAAGCAATGCAAAATAATTTGAAATAGGGATATACAAAATAAAAGTAAAGAACGCTCTTACTCCATATCCCATGATATCATGACGGCTGTTTTGAGTTTGCGGTGTTATTGTTATTATTAGGGCTTTACACTTGAACATGGTATCTGGGCTCATTCTAACAGACTCATTCATGATCCCTCCTTTCCCTTCCGTCCTGTCCCAACTTCCTCCCTCCTCTACTCTACGTGACTTCCTTTTGTTTCATATGAATTTGTATTTGATTGGTTCTCTGTTATCTTATCCCTCCCTCCCCCTTTCCTTTAGTTTACTCTAGCTTCTGCATACTGAACCTTTGAGTCTCTGAGCTGGGCTTCTTTCCCTCAGTATGATATTCTCCATTTCCATCCATTTACTGGTAGATGCCATATTTCATTCTTGTTTATGGCTGAGTAGAACTCCATTGTATGTATATACGATGGTCTCTTAATCTTTCTGTCTGTTGATGGGCGTCTAGGTTGATTCCATAATTTAGCTATTGTAAATTGTACTTCTGTGAACATTGATGTGGCCGTGTCTGTGGCTGAGTTTAGATCTTTGGGGAAAATACCAAACTGTGGGATAGCTGGATCATCTGGAGGTTCCAGAAAGCAATAGCAGTCGTGATGTTTCTGGTCTAATTCTGCAGTCTCACCAACAATGCACAAGTGTACCTTTTGCCCTACAGCTTCACTGGCATTTATTGTTTGTAATCTTGATCATTACTAATCTGACTGGAGTGAGATGAAATCTTAGGGTAGTTTCGATTTGCGTTTCCCTGATTGCTGATACGTTGAACATTTTTCATGTATTTATTGGCCTTTGTGTTTCTTCTTTTGAGTAGTTTCTGTTTCATTCTTTTGCCCGTTTATTGATTGGGTTGTTTGATTTTTTGGTAAAAAGTTTTTGAGTTCTTTGTATATTCGAGATATTCATTCCCTATTGGGGGAAGAACTGGCCAAGGTTTTCTCCCACTCTGTAGACTCTCCTTTTGAGTTCTTACTCATTCCCCTGGCTGTGCAGAAGCTTTTTAGTGTGATGGCCTCCCACTTATTGATTCTTGGCTTTATTTCTTGTGCTTTGGGGGTCTTGTTAAGGAGGTTAGTGCTCACCCCCATATGACGGAGCGTTGACCCTGTGGCTTTTGTACTAGCAGTCCTGAAGTTTCTGGTCTAATTCCTAAGTCTTTGATCCATTTCAATTTGAGTTTTGTGCAGAGGGAGAGATAAAGATCTGATT